CAGATATTCAGGAAATTCAGAAATTCAGAAATTCAGAAATTCAGAAATTCAGAAATTCAGAAATTCAGAAATTCAGAAATTCAGAAATTCAGAAATTCAGAAATTCAGAAATTCAGATATTCAGGAAATTCAGATATTCAGGAAATTCAGAAATTCAGAAATTCAGAAATTCAGAAATTCAGAAATTCAGAAATTCAGAAATTCAGAAATTCAGAAATTCAGAAATTCAGAAATTCAGAAATTCAGAAATTCAGAAATTCAGAAATTCAGAAATTCAGAAATTCAGAAATTCAGAAATTCAGAAATTCAGAAATTCAGAAATTCAGAAATTCAGAAATTCAGAAATTCAGAAATTCAGAAATTCAGAAATTCAGAAATTCAGAAATTCAGATATTCAGGAAATTCAGATATTCAGGAAATTCAGAAATTCAGAAATTCAGAAATTCAGAAATTCAGAAATTCAGAAATTCAGAAATTCAGAAATTCAGAAATTCAGAAATTCAGAAATTCAGAAATTCAGAAATTCAGAAATTCAGAAAATCAGATATTCAGGAAATTCAGATATTCAGGAAATTCAGATATTCAGGAAATTCAGAAATTCAGAAATTCAGAAATTCAGAAATTCAGAAATTCAGAAATTCAGAAATTCAGAAATTCAGAAATTCAGAAATTCAGAAATTCAGAAATTCAGAAATTCAGAAATTCAGAAATTTAGAAATTCAGAAATTTAGAAATTCAGAAATTCAGAAATTCAGAAATTCAGAAATTCAGAAATTCAGAAATTTAGAAATTCAGAAATTTAGAAATTCAGAAATTCAGAAATTTAGAAATTCAGAAATTTAGAAATTCAGAAATTTAGAAATTCAGAAATTCAGAAACTCAGAAATTCAGAAATTCAGAAATTCAGAAATTCAGAAATTCAGAAATTCAGAAATTCAGAAATTCAGAAATTCAGAAATTCAGAAATTCAGAAATTCAGAAATTCAGAAATTCAAAAAATTGATTTTTCAGACAACCAAATTGACAACCTGCCTACTGAATCTAATCAAATCAGAGCCTCAAAATCGATATTCCGAAGAGATTGCTCATTTTTATATTCTACCGTACTCCTGGCTTATTTCCTGCTACATTTGTAACTCTTACCCAGTCAAAAAATGGATTCAAAATCGAGAAGAAAAATCGAAAAATCCAGAAATTCCAATGGAGTCAATAGGAAGTACTGTAGTTCCGAGGGAGAGGAGAGACAGTGTGGAAACTACAGTATCCTATCTACAGTATGATACAGTATCCATTCAAGATGTGAATGTTTCGGCTTGAATTATTTTGGAACTTAACTTTTTTTTTCAAAACTTTTTTGAAATTTTTCAATAAACCTTTTTTCTTTTTTCAAGTTTTGATTTTCATAAAAATCAAATATTGAATTTCTGAATTTCTGAATTTCTGAATTTCTGAATTTCTGAATTTCTGAATTTCTGAATTTCTGAATTTCTGAATTTCTGAATTTCTGAATTTCTGAATTTCTGAATTTCTGAATTTCTGAATTTCTGAATTTCTGAATTTCTGAATTTCTGAATTTCTGAGCCATGCGGACCACAAGGCGAGAGGGGAGGAATAGCAATGTTCTCTTCCTTGAGCGGAGCAACGGAACAGAAAAAAACTGGCCAGCCACCAGCCAGCTGTTTGAAGCGCCGGAGGCGTGGCAAACAGATGGCTGGTAGATACCATAAACGCTCTGGTAGAACGACAAATTTTAGGAAAATTATTGTTAAACGACTGGACAATCATCTCGATATCTACTTGGCACTCGCTAAGGAACGAAATAACGAGGAATGGTCGGTGGATACTTTTCACTCATTCGAAATGAGTGTGACACAAAAATACAATGAAATCATAAAGCAAAGAGGCGAGATCTGTAATGGTCACATGTATGGAGCACTCAAGTTTTGCACTTGGCAATATATGCAGAACTATATTTTGGTAGATGGAAAACTATCCGTGAAGACTCAAGTTCACATCAAAAAAATGGCTGGATCTGCTAAATCGAAACTTATCGATTTTGATGCCAGTGCCAAATTCTCAGATTATATATTGGAAGTTGGAGGGCAGAAGTTCCATGTATTGAAGCAAGTAAGACACATTACTCCAATTATTTGTCAGAATTTCTATCTTTTGTGGTTTCTATCGTTTTGAGCTCATTACCAGCTTCAAAATAAGCCTAAACACGCCTAGGCTCCACACACTTTGATTTTTCTTGCGCGTCGCGGTCGTGCGTTGCGTGTCGAGGTGAAAATTCATAGTGGGCGGATCCTAGTCGTGTTGGGGCTCATTTTGAAGCTGATAAAAAGCTCGAAACAATGGAAAACCCAGAAAATTAAAATTCAAACAAATGTTGGAAAATTATGGTTCTTGAAAAGTTTTAGAAAGTAAAAAATTCTGTGTTGAAAGAGGCAAGCCACAAACGTAGTTAAAATTGATTCAATTTTTTCAAAATTTTCAAAATATACTTAACAAAACTAGAGCTTCATTTTTGTAGTTGACAACTTTTCTGAAAAATCAAGTCCCAGGGAGATATGCAACGAATTCTGAGTAAGTAAAAGGTCCCTCCCACTGCTCTGGCTTTGGAAGGTGCTATCTCCCTGGGACTTGATTTTTTGAAAAAGTTGTCAACTACAAAAATGAAGTTCTAGTTTTATTCAGTATATTATGAAATTTCCAGACAAATCCAAAAAGTTTAATCTACTCTTGTAGGCGTTTATAACTTGCAACTTGCTCCTCGGGCCGTTTTTGACCCTTTTTTGACCTAAATTTCATATTTCAGCTACTCGCTATGCGATCTTCATATTTTGAAGCTCTCTTCTATGGAAAGTTCACTGAATCCACAGAAGACGCCACCGAACTAAAAAATGTGGATCCAACTGATTTCCAGAACTTCCTAGAAGTCCTTCACGGGGAGTACAAGGCCATCGACGGTACTCGTTACTCAATTTTTAGAATTTTTAGAAATAAAATCGATATTTTCAGATTACACTTTGGAAGGCATCATGCTGCTAAATGACGTTTACGACGCGAAAACTGTGGAAGAACGATGCCAGGAATTCTTGATGGAGAAATCGCAGCTCTCCCTGGTCAAAAAGCTCAAATTAGTCTCGAAATATAAGAATGATGAGTTAAAGGTGAGTGTTGAAATTGGAAAAATTGAATCCAGAAAGTTTTAAGCTTCAAAATGAGCCTAAACATGACCTACTTTGAAGAAATGAAAAATTCTATACTTTTGTCAATGGGTCTGTATGCGTCTTTGAACTTAACATTTCAAACTTTTTGGGGCTCATTTTGAAGCTCTCAACAAATTGAATTCAACAGTATTGTTTGCATTGGGTTATTTTGAAATTTGAGAGCTTTTTGACCTAATTGAATATTTCCAGGAAAAACTGCTATCTGAAATCAAGACCTTGGAGACGTACAAAAGCATCGTGGCAGACGGAGTGGATGATTTTAGTCTTGATGTTGCCCAGGCGCTTCTAAAGAAGTCTCTTAGTCTTCAGTGATCTCTTTCTCACATTTCTTTATCAATAAATATCAATATTTTGATTTTTCTGCTATTCAAAACCATTTGGGTTTTCCTCTCCCTTCTATTTCTGGTCTTTTTTTTTCATTGAATTCAAAATGCCTAGAATAGGTTTGAAATTTTCGATTCCTAAGTCTATTTTGAGGATTGCTCATCTTTAAAAAAAACACCATTTTCAAGACGAGAGAGACGAGAGAAGTGACATCTTCTGCTCGTCGTGTCTGCGTCTCTTCTAGTTCTCTTGTCTCTCACCTGGTCAGTTGGCAACCCTCCTCGCAGCCTTCTCCTGCTGCTGCCAAATTGATTTTCCTCTTCTTTATTTATTTATTTATTTATTTATTTACGATTGCAAGAATCGTGGAAAAAAAAAGGAAAAAAACATTAAACATTCTTCTTCTTTTTTTTTTCTTTCTTGCGCTTTCTAATTCTCTTTTTCTAACTATCTCTACATTTCAAATTTCCCGCTTTTCAGAATGTCCCAAGAAGGCGTACCGGTAAAAAGAAGACGGGAAAATGGTCCGGATGAACAACCTGATCTTCGAGAACTCGTAGAAAAGAATGTGAGTTTTTAGAAAATTTTCAAAAAAATCGTTAATTTCAGATTTCCGCTACACAAGAGATCAAGACAATGGTTAACAATCAGGAGAAGAATATTTTGGAAACAATTGAAAAACTAGAAGATCAAAGGGAAAATACAGGGTGGCTAATAAGTATGTGGTTTTTTGTTTTCGTGGGCCCTGGAAAGAAAAATTGACTTATGACATACGAACGAAGTTCATTTTCTGATAATATAGAACCTCTTGAATAATTATTTGAGTACATTGTCAGAGTTGGACAAAAAAACCACATACTTATTAGCCACCCTGTAGTTCCAAAACGATTTTAGGGGAATTGGTAAAGATTGGAGCACAAATCAACGCGGAAAATAAAGTGAGTCTACCTGCACATTGAGCTCAATTATCTCGGCTCCTATGAAAAGTATTACAAGAGAACCACAACACCTCGTCCCCTCAGATTTTGATGAAACTTTCAGGATATGTTAAGAATAGTCTATCTAGGCATTCCTGAAAATTTTAGAATCTGCTCGCCAGTTTCAGCCTAGTTACTTCAGTCCAAAGTTTTAGTACTGAAATCCGTTGATTTGCTTGCTTTACCACACATTCCATCGCCCAAATCCGTACGAGAGAAGTTCAAAGATGGTGTAACATTTGGCCGCCTTTCCAATCTGTGGAAAACGTCAGCGGCGTGGTGTCGGGGATGTGGTGGGCGCCAGTGGGCGCAAGGTTTCTGGTTCGCTCCCTCTCGTGTTTCTTTTCAAATTTTCACCAATTCAAGAGAGTTAAAACGAAATTTAGATTTTTTCAAAAAATTTCAAAATAATTGAAGTCCTCAATCCTCGGAAAGTAGCAGTTTCGAAGAGTTGTTTTTGGGGACTAGAGACCATGACCAAGTAATGAAAAGTAATTGTAATTTGTAATTTGTTTATTGAGCAGATATAATGATAACCAGATGGTAAGACAAAAAAGACTCGCCCCTCACGAGGTATTTAATTGAAAATAGATCATCTACTAGTTGTATCATAATATTTTCAGACGATTATCACTACCTTTTTCGAAGAAATTCCTCAAACAAGCAGGTGGGAAAAACTCTCAAAAACTTTTTTTTTTTTGAAAAAATGTCTGAAATATGAAATTTCATCGAATTCTAAGCATAACAAACAAAATTTTATGCTCTGGAACCTCATAGAAGCTGAGAAAATCGCCATTAAAAATCGTTATTTTTGCACGGAAAAAAGTTATTTTTGATACTGAAACTGATACAACTCGGCTGAAACTGGCGGTCGGGTTCGAACATTTTCAGGGATGCCTAGATAGGCTAATGTTAACATATAAAAAAGGGCTAATTTTAAAATTGTTTATTTTGTCCAAAGAAAATCATTTTTCGATATTAAAATGGGAGGGGTACAGAATAAGGTGGCATATTTCAAAACCCATAATATTCTGTGAAAAAAGAATCACAAATCATTCATTATCAAGAAAATTTATGAGACGTCTTTGGGTTTTCGATTGAAACGTATTGGTTTTTATATTTTCTATTCTCCTTCCTGATCACAGATTTACATCTGAGGCCGTATTCATGAACATTTACTTTTAGGTAAATATAACGTGTAAATGATTTACAAAGAGGAAAATAGAGTGATTGGTATTCATGAAAGCTTAGGGTAAAAGAAAGCATTTTCCTTCAGATTTACAGTGATTTTTCTTTCACGTCACTGATATTTTCTTCTTCTTCTTCTTTTCTTGATTTTTCAGTGATAATTTTGTGTAAATATTTACACCTGTAAATCGATTTACTAGAAACCGTATTCACAAAAGGATTTGAGCTAGAGTATGCATTCTACCGTCACGGTGTACAACGCTTAATGTCACTCTGCGTACAGCTGTCGTCCTCGCCTTTATGTATGCAATCGGGCGTGCGCTTTCTCTTTGCCCGCGTGGCTCAGTCGGTAGCGGCGCCGCACCCTCAATCATCGCCCTCACAAGTTCAACTCCTCGAGGGACATATTTAAACGGAATTTCGAGATTATTATTTTTTTCATGTCCTCCCACCTCTAAGTAAATATTCACTCTTGCAATATGTGAGGAAACAAGAATGATTCTGTGTTTTTTATCAGTTATTAACACTATTATGGCAGATATGACGAAAACTAGAACTTAGTTCCCTGTTAAAAAGAAATATTTAAATCTTGGACATAGCTAGAACTCAATTTGGCAATTCACTTTTTTTTTGTTGCCTATTAGCATCCCTTCTCTTTGGAAACGATAAAGAATAGTTGCATTGACTTAAAGTCAGTTATAGACCACCTCTAGAAATCGTCCAGAAAAATAAAAAGTTGAGATTATTTAATGTTGGTCAAACTTGAAAAAAATTTAATTAAAAACGGTCTAGAAGTTCTCAGAAAAAGACTAATTTTTGAATTTCGTTAATTATAGAAATTATTTTTTGGGGAAATGCAATTTTTTTGATTTTTTTTTTCTCATTATTTTTATTTGAACATATTGTCGGAATAAAAAAAGTGAGACTAAAAGTCCACTTGGAGATCATATTTTCTATGAAAATCTCATTAAATTCGATGATCTCCCAAGTGGCGCTAAAACACCACGCCGCACTTGCAAAGCGATGGGCGGAGCGTCGGTGGGGGTGAGGCGGGAATCAAAGTACGCAAACACCGAGTCTCACCTTTTTATTCCGACAATATTATATTTCTTCATGCACGCTCTCCCACAGAACAATTCAGTGCTGTAAATTAATTTTTGATCTACACAAAAAATGTTGGTGCGATCACAATTGCAGGTCTAAAACCAAAATTTCAGAATTTTTTATCTGATTTTGTGGAGTTCCAAGATGATTCAAATGACTCTTTAAAAAATAACAAGTGGTTACAGATTCATGTATGGTCGTTTTCCGGAAGAAAAAATGTCAAAAATGGTCATTTTTGAAAGTTTTTTACAGAAAAAATCTATCTCCTCTTTCAGTTTTTGACATTTCTAGGAGTTCTATAGCTCAAAAAAAACCGCAATTATTTTCTCTACATTTTCTATAAATGAATTTTTAATTCGTCTGATAAAACTTTTTTATAATTCAGGG